ATATATATATATATATATATATATATATATATATATATAAAAGGCGTGTGTTGCTGTTGCCTTACTGTAATTGTCCAATAAAAATTGAAATAATTAAGCCAAAAAGGTACAAAACCCTTGAAAATGCATGACATTTTAGTGTGTACCTGTAAAGCAAAGTGCAAAATGATCCATATGACTCCCAGGGATGTGACGAGTAGGTCATATCTGTTTCTCCTGCTCTGCCAGTATCCAGCTGGTGACATAGCTATCAGTTTCATAGTCACCTGCGGCAGAGGAAATTTAATTATGTCATGACCGTACAATACTTACGAAAGACCTCATGAACTGTGAGGCCTCTGGTGAATTTGAAAACTTTTCTTGTGGCTGGAAAGAAATTTTGCTTGGGCTGACTCATGAAAGAACAGCAAACAGAATTGGAAATATATAGCCTACTGTAACAGCTTTACCTCCAGAACAAAAATGAATGTGAAAACCACAGACATTGTGGCCAAAGGAAAAGTAACCGGGTGAAGTTCATCCCACTGTAACACATACACAAAAAAATTATTTATCATTTCAGTGCAGAAATAAAGCAAAAATGTTTTTGCTGTAACCCTCCTCACCTTAACAGACAGGAGGACAGACTGTGCTAACACCAGCACTGCAATACCTCGCTTGAAAAAAGGATGTTGGGTAATGTCATACATTTTTGCACGGAATCCAGCGTTTTCTACAAATGGAAGAGAAGGAATTTCAGCTTTGAAAGAACAAAAAATTGGTTCTTTTCTGAATGATCCGGTGCTGTGGTTATAAAACAAAGGCCTGGTTAAAATTCCCTGACCTTCACAATAATCTCTACGCTCTCCTTTATCATCAATTAATAGACTCGCTGAGAGAAAATCATCTCAACTGTTCAATCAATGCACTCGGTAAGAGCTTTACCCTTGGCATTGCTTAGGATCCGCTACATCATCGTTTTGCTGTCTTTTAGCTAAAGGTCTGAGTGGCATTCATCATACACCGTAATCACAAGTTCATTTCAACAGACACAAAGCGCAGACAGATTATTCGAAGCTGGTTTCAATGGAGTTGGAATTGATGTGGTTACTCTGCCGAGTGCTGACTAAGGTATTGATTTTTCTGTTATTCCATGAGGCAGACTACCTGGCAGGAAGCACAAAGGAAGCTCCGCCTACTGCCGTCCACAGCTCTCTATAGCTATCTCTCAATTTAGTTCTTATATTTTTACTGGCTCTGCACCCATTTACCTAAATTCATTACTTCAGAGTTATGTGCCCTCTAGAAAGAGGCACAATATCACTTTCACTGACTTTTTCATTAACTGTTCCCTCCTGGTGGAATGACCTGCCCAACTCAATCCGAGCAGCTGAGTCCTTAACCATCTTCAAGTAACTACTAAAAACACATCTGTTCCACCTTTATTTGACCCTTTAACTCTAACTTTTTTATTTTTATTTTATTTTTTATTAAAAAAAACAACAAAAAACAAAGAAACACTAGCTTTCTATTTTTTCTATCTACTTGTTTTTCTTTGTGTGTGTGTGTGTGTGTGTATATAATATATATATACAGTGGTACGGAAAGTATTCAGACCCCCTTAAATGTTTCACTCTTTGTTATATTGCAGCCATTTGCTATAATCATTTAAGTTAATTTTTTTTCCTCATTAATGTACACACAGCACCCCATATTGACAGAAAAACACAGAATTGTTGACATTTTTGCAGATTTATTAAAAAAGAAAAACTGAAATATCACATGGTCCTAAGTATTCAGACCCTTTGCTCAGTATTTAGTAGAAGCACCCTTTTGATCGAATACAGCCATGAGTCTTTTTGGGAAAGAGGCAACAAGTTTTTCACACCTGGATTTGGGAATCCTCTGCCATTCCTCCTTGCAGAGCCTCTCCAGTTCTGTCAGGTTGGATAGTAAACGTTGGTGGACAGCCATTTTTAGGTCTCTCCAGAGATGCTCAATTGAGTTTAAGTCAGGGCTCTGGCTGGGCCATTCAAGAACAGTCACAGAGTTGTTGTGAAGCCACGCAAATGATTTTAGCAAATGGCTGCAATATAACAAAGAGTGAAAAATTTAAGGGGGTCTGAATACTTTCCGTACCCACTGTATATTGTTGCTCTTTTGTTAGTTTTGACTGCTTTTATTGTCCTCATTTGTAAGTCGCTTTGGATAAAAGTGTCTGCTAAATGACTAAATAAATAAATATAGCATGCAATGAATATTATTGCTGTAATGTTATTTTAGTATTATTTATACTACTATTATTGTTATTGTATTATATTATTTATCAATACTTTAAATTATTTTTATATTTTAAGCATTTCATTTGAAGTTTTAATCATTTGGTTATGGGCTTTCATCATGTTTATTAGTTTTTTTAAATTTAATTATATTTATTTATAAATTTTTAATAATTTTAGTACTTAATAATTTCAGCTTATTTCAGTTAGTTGCCGAGGCAATATTTCTGTTTTTTTTTTTTTTAAGTTTTAGTTTTTCATATAATAATTATATTTTATTTTATTTAAGCTTTGTTTCAATTACTGCATTTTAATGATTTTACTTTTAACAATAACACTTTTGCAGGAAGAAAAATCATAAATTGCTTAGAAAAATATTTAGCACACCTCTCCTGGCCAACTAACTGACTAACTAACTAAATAAATAAATAGTTAAATAGAAGTAGTAGTAGTAGGTTTGAGACTGCTCTGCCCGGTTAAATATACGGATGTTAATTATGCTTGATAGTGGTAGAAGAAGAAAAAAGAAAGGAAGTAAACCATTATTCAAATTTGATCTCTCTTTGAGGGAAAATTTAATTAGAAAGGTTGCGTTACTTGCAATGTGACCCACAAAATGCATTTTGTTTTGTTTGAACAAAATTAGATTTCAGTTATCAGTACTGGAGGAAGAGCACGCTGCTTCCATGCTGATAGCGAAAAGCCATTGGTTCAGCCCATTGTTTACAAAGGCAGCATAGATGAACAATTCTATTGTAATTTACAAAGAACTGCTGCATGTTTTCCTATTGGTTAAAATGATAATTGAACAACTCAGATGTACTTAATGACTGAAAAAGAATAGAAAAGTACCAAAAATCTGTCCATTGCAGCTTTTGGAGTTTGGTTCAAAATATATAAATCAAATATGCACAGTTGTCAGTAGATTGGAGGATTATTTTGTGTCTAATTGCCACATAAAATATGCCTGGATAATTGCCTACTATGATAATTGTGTTTATTCTTTCCTGCTGTTATGAAGCATGTCTTTGAAGTGTCTGTTTCCAGGCGAGCCAACGGCAGTCTAACATAAAAACATAACGAGCCACCGCCGTCACCGCAGAGCCTGCGACTGCCAAATCAATCAGTCAGTCAATCTATGGGAGACACAGAGAGAATCGCTCTTCTCTCTTTGGCTCCGAGGTGCCCACAGAGCCCAAAGTCATTCATACTACAGGCAGCTATAACTTCTGACTCAAAAGTGGAGTGGTTTTTATCAAGTGTGTGATTGCCTTGGGGGTGTACCCACCGCTGAAAGCTTAAATGTAGTTTGTTCTCTACTACAGCAGAAGAGAGCTGATTAAATGCTTCAGGAAACACATGCAAAGCAGGGATGGCTCATTAGCCAGGAGAGGAAGAGTGGAAGATGGAGGGAGGGATAGAGAGAAAAAAAGAGATGAGAGACTGAGAGGCTGCTGCTGAATAATACACTTGCAGCTCTGGTGACGTTTATCTGTGCACCACCAACATGTCACTTTGTGGCTGTTTGACCATTTTGGAGGATTCAAATTCCTTTTGAAATAAGAAGCTTCAGTTATCTTCAGATGTCTTTGACAGAGAAAATATGAGTATTATGACTTTGAATCGAAAAAACGGATGTAGTTTATACTTCAACGTAATTAAAAGATATCACTACATTGTTTCTCTTGCTACTTTTATATTCTCGTACACATGACGGCACACAAACTACAACAGATTTACATAATTTTTATGTTTTTTATGTATAGAAATAAAATTTACATTTTATTTCTATAGACCTCAAGAGTGCACTTACCCGGACGTGGGGGGAGGTGGAGGGGCTGAGCAATCTTCAGTCGACTTTTCAAATCTTCCCATCTCCTCTGATCCACGGTCAAAAGAGCAGTGCCCTAAACAAAAACATCCAACACATCTGATCAGGGATCAGCCAACAAACCTACTGTAGCTACTAATCATCTAACAGTATGAAAAATGCCATACCTTATTTTCATTAAAGTTGGCTATGACAACACCAACAAAAAGAGTGAGCCCAATCATACAGCCCAAGAACACAAAGACGTGGATGTAGATGCCGTGAATCTGTTTTAAGAGACAATCGAAGGTCCTAAACAGTGCAGTCATGATCAGCCAGTTCCCTTTCAGTCGGTCACTCTCGACGTCACGTCGGATGAACGATGAAATTGGGATCTCGCTTAGAGGGACCAATCTACTTTGAGTGTAAACTAAATGAGCCAATGCACATTGTCGTGCGATTATTGCATCCAGCTGCTGCTGATCACAGCGTGAGTATAAGTAGGCAGCAGATGCAGCGCATATTCAGCTTTTCGCTTCGGAGCCGAGCGATCACATCGTTCTGCTCCTGACTACTCTACTGAGAGAAGAAGACTGAATGAGTTCAGCGCGCTCTTGGAGAGCTCTTCGTGTTGGCGGACGGCGCTTTCTGGAGGGGAAGATTCGGCTGCGCTGCTCTCCTCCGAGACCGTAGCAATGCCTGAATCGGATCCAGACATAATGGCTATGCTTTCCCGGGCCACCGTAGGGGTAGGGCTCGAGTGAAGTCTTTCACCGTGTCCCGAGCCCTCAAGGTTGCACGATTGGTTCTTGGGGTGGTCCACGCTGGTTCTCAGCGCCCCGCCTCGGTGCCTTTCTTCCCAGAGGTGCATGAGGAGCTCAACAGGTCGTGGACGGCTCCCTTTTACTGCCGGAAACTGATTTGCTGGATCCTCCTCCCTCACCCCCCTCGATGGTGGGGCAGCTAGGGGGTTACAAGGGTCCCCTCGGGGGAGCGGTCGTTTGCAATGCAGCTGTGGCCTAATGCCGCCTCCAACCGGCAGGGAGAACCGTGCCTCCCCTCCCGGGTCTGTAGGTACTCGACTGGCCAGCGATGCCTACACGACCTGTGGAGAAGCTGCCTCCGCCTTACACGCTACGGCGTGATTGCAAGTGCACCAGGCCAAGGCACTGAGGGACTTGCACGAGGGTGGTCACGACCCGGAAGTTCGCAGAGAACTCCGCACCGCGGCGGACCTCACGCCACGAGCGACGAAGGTTACGGCGCGGTCTCTGGGTCGTGTGATGTCCACTATGGTGGTCCGGGAGCACCCTTTGGCACCCTCGTTCAGACCTCTGAAAACTTCATGTCCGGTCCCTTTTTTGCAGGAAGAGCTGGAGCGAAGGCTGTCTCCCTCTACCCTGAAAGTTTATGTCGCTGCAATTGCTACTAACCACGACCCCGTACAAGGGAGGTCGCGTATACAGTTTAGTATCTTAATAAAAGTAACTTACCGGTCCTACTCTGTGTATGATGACGTCTCTCACCTCCACCCAGCCCTTCAGTGACAGCACCTCAAATAGAGCCAGCATGGCGTTGCCCACATTATCAAAATTAAAGTTTCGAGGGTTTGCCCTAAAAAGAGCAGTTCAAGAGATATTTGACATTTTTATTTCTGTCTATTCTTAGGAAGAAAAAATGTCACCCCTAATTCTTTTGAATTACAATTACAATTCTATCTTGGAATATTAAGCATGATGTTTTTTAAATTTTTTATTTTCCATTGTGATTTTCATGAGCACATTTACTTTCTCCTTGCTCCCCAATCCCTAACTTTCTGTTATGAAAAAAATTTATTACTTATATTACCTTATACTGTAAGGCAGAAAAATAATTACATATTATTTAAAATGTAAAGTATATGTGTAAAGTATAATTTTAAGCATACAATGTATTTGCAAAGAATAATTTTAATTATACTGTAGTATGTAATGGTCATGGAAATAATACCACAATGGAAAAATGTTAAAGACTCTAAAATTTTATTTTATTGAAATATGAACCAGACATTAATTGCTATAATCACATTTAAAGCAATGACATGAAACCAAGAACACTCAGAAAGCATTTTTTAAATGTGACTCTTAAATAATTTTGTCAACTCATCTTGTGAGTTAAAGATAAAGTACCACTGCTCTTAAAACATTAAAAAACAAGAGGAAAAAAAAAACTTCAGCTGTTCCCTTCTTATAATCTCAGGTATAAAATGTACCAAAATGTTATGGTGTCTATCTGCCTGTGTGTGTGTGTGTGAGCGGACTGGACACACTGGTCTATGGGCTGAACATGAACACAATACCAAGAGGATCAAAGGCCTTGCTCTTTTCCTGTTACCACGCAAAGCGCTCAAAGATAAAAGAGTAACCACCTCTCTCTCTCTCTCTCTCTATTATTCAGCATTAGCAGAAACCGTCTCAGGTTACTTATGTAACCATGGTTCCCTGAGTAGGGAACGAGACACTGCGTCCTCTAGGTTTCTTGCCATGCTGCGGACGCAAGCTTCAGACGAAGAAGTGAATGATGTGTAGCTCCCGGCGCCGATTTATACTCGAGTCGCACCGGTAGTGACGTCATGGCTGTCGCCGGCCAACGAGTTGGTGTTTTTTCAATGTATGCTTCAGACACGGGTCACGACGAGGCGTTCCCCATAGCGACCCCTAGAGGACGCAGTTCGAAGTTCCCATGAAAGGGAACTTGCTTTCTCTAGAACGGCTATGGACCCATGTGTGTCTTTTGCTGGTCTTCATTATTTAACGTCTCACAAATAATTTGCCATTGTGTTGCTACACATCTCTAGAGCAATAACAGACTCATTGGTGTGTGGGTGTATGATTGTGTTGTTTGTGTTTATCCCTGAGGGAAGGATATAGCAGCCCCCTGCTCTGTGCCCACGACAAACCGTACAACTGCACTGCAACACTGACTATTGCTTATGGGGAAAATACATCTGAAAGATGATGAAAATGTGGTGCTGTTTATCTGATGAGAACATTTATCATACTGGTTTGTGCTGTCACAGATGAGATGTTACTACAGGGATTTCTCAAAAAGACCTCAACACTGAAGATGTGACAGGTTCAGTTTGTGTTGAGTTATTCTGTGCTTTTAAATGAAATTGAATTCTATTCATTTGTGAAAAAGTAAAAATGTCTTTCAAATTCTCAAATTTTAGTCAAATAAATATCAAAAATACATTTTTATATTGCATTATTGTTCACTAAATTTGAACATGTGAAAAAAAACAACAACTATAGAGAACATTCTTTTCCATTTCATACCAAACTCTTGGCACCCAGAATCCTGGTTTCTTCTCGCCCGGCCTGAGCTTTAAATTCAGGTTCTTTGAAATGCTCACATTGATTCTAAAGATGCCATGGCAGTCCTCCTGAAAAAGTCAACAAAGCACAAAATTTCAGTGAAGTACAGAAGATCCTCCGCTCCGAACTTAGTTTGAAAAGTTGTAAGAATTACATTGTACCTTATTGGAGATATGGGGATCATTACATTTGGCAAGTTTTCCAGCAAAGAGTTGCACCCCAAAGGTTGCAAACACCAGCATTAGTGTCAGAAGAAGAATAGAGACCTGTTTGGGAAATCAATAATCCGGTCTAAAGCAAAATGGCTTTCCCATAAAATATGGTCAGTGCATTACTCTCATATACAGTAACCCTATAATAAGCTCAAAGAAAAGTACCCAAGGGGAGCAAAGCTTTAATAAAGAAGGTCCATAAAGAAATCTCCTAGACAAACCTCTTGTTCCAAAATATAATCTATTGAAACGATGCAAAAAGACACTGAAAATTATTTTTTTAAGAAAGCATAAGGAAAAAATGATGCACAAAATATACATTTTAGAATAATTAACAAACAGCCAGCTATCTCTGTTCTCCTTTTATTGAGCAACTACAGGCAGGAAGTGGGATGATTTGTTCACTCACCAAGAAGATCTCTTTGAAACCCTTGAGGACCTCTCGCACCACCTTCCTCATTTGGGGCACCAGTTTAAAGATACGCAGTGGGCGCAGGCAGCGTAGCATCATGAGGAGCTGGGCACCAGACTCTGGAGGCACACTGTTTGGTAGCCAGCATAGAAAGATCAGACTGACCTACAGAGTAGGCAGAAATATCACCTTAAAGGCCACAACTCTTCATTTAATTCTGATCTTGAATGTGAAATCACTAACTACAGATTATTTTTTATGGCATATTTATATTGCTTTATTAATATAAATGCAATAAGTATTACTCATGCAATAGTCAGCAGTGGAAGTATAAATGCAAATAATGTTTGTGTAAGGCAGAATTCTTCTGAAATGAGTAAACAGGATGAAATTGACGTGACTGGGTCATTTAAATAAAACGCTGTTTAGGGTCATTAAAATGCAATCTTCAGAGCCTCATTAGAGAAGTGAGTAATCAGCTAGAAGGCTGCCTTTCACATGTGTCGGAAAGTGGGTTTTTCACAGGAGAGCTGAGAATGGAGTTTTACTAAGTAGATGAAGATGTCCATGACGCCACCGAAGTCTCGGATGACTGCAGTGGGAGTGAAGAACAGACCATCTGCCATGATCTTCAGGTTCAGCTCAATGCTCATGAAGATGACAAACACGAATTCTCCGATCTGCAGCGAAAGGGGTGGTTTAGTGTATAATAGAATACAATTTTTCATAAAGCAGCTTTTTATAAAAACTGAACTAAAGGTTTGCAAGCTTTGTCCTAACAATTCTTTGTCTTCTGGTAAGTTAGAGAAGATATTGAGACTGGGAGTGTCATAACACAAAAACTCGCCAGGATAAAAATCTTTCTCTGTGCTCTTGAAAATATCCTTATCAGGTAAAGATCAGGTCATCCTGGACTGTCTGAAGTGGAGTTTCAATCAGTGGTGTAGAAAAAGAGACCGAAGACTTTCAAGAGTGGCAGGTCAATCAGTCCCAACTTTCTGCTTCGTAAAGTACAAGATCTTTGAAACAGAGGCACCCTAAAAGCATTCACTTTCAAAGTCAACTTACTGTAAATGAACTCTAAAGTGGATCATTATCAAATGTGCTCAAAAGGGCAAAATTAGTTCAGAGTGGCAATCAAAAGTGCTGGACTGCAACAAAAGTGAGACATGATGACCAGCCTTCAGGAAAGATAGGAGGAACATTTACAGGGTAAAAAAGTTAGTTGGATGTGCATGTGGGATAGAATGGTGACCAGTTGGGTTTAGAATACCTGCAGGGTAGGGACATGCATGACCCTAGTAAAAGGGGACTCAAACATCATGGAAATACAAGAGCAGATGGTGACCACGATCATCACCCAGTCCAGATAGGTTACCAAGCCCAGTAAATCACTGGAGAACACACACAGACACATACACATGCAAGGTTTAGTGCAGGTTAAATGTGCATTCTTCCTACACTTCAGTCTGAGCTTACATAACTTTGTCTTAAAGAGGTCATATGATGCGATTTCAATTTTTCCTTTCTCTTTGAAGTGTTACAAGCTCTTGGTGCATAAAGAAGATCTGTAGTTGCAAAGTTGCAAAGACTAAAGTCTCAAATCCAAAGAGATATTCTTTATAAAAGTTAAGAGTTAACCCCGCCTACCTAAAACGGCTCGTTCTAACACGCCCCCACATGTTTATTCTCGCTGTAGTATTGTTGCTGCCGCCATGTCATGAAGACGCTGTGTGTTTCGTTGTGAAAGCGAAACTACTTTGTTTGGCTTTCCAAAAGAGGATGATATCCGCTTCGTCATGCCTAGAGCTTATCCGTGCTGATCGCTGAGGAAATACATCAACTTCGCGCTGTGGATCGCCGGATCGGCTTTCACCGTGGACGAAGCGGAGTCCAGCCCGGGGTCGTCACATGTGGTTGCCGCAAGCCCACCGGCCGCCGCCGCTCACTCTAGCCCGGCGTGTGTGACGCAGTGTGTTTCATTGTGAAAGCAAAAATACTTTGTTTGGACTTCCAAAAGAGGACACGACTATAAATCAGTGGTTAAGTTGTATTTACAACACTGTTCCAGAACAGTTCAATGCAAATATTCAGATGTGTCCAGCACATTTTACGTAGGACGTAGACTACAATACCGGCTGTTCTGACTCACAGCCTGTAAGTAAGTTTTTTATATTTACAAGATTTGCGACTGACGATTCAAACGCGAGTTTTGAGCAGTGTAGAGTAGCGCTTGTTGTTTGTCATTTCTCCGATCACAAATGCAGACATGGTTTTATGTTTATGCGGCGCGATGCAATGCGTAAAAAGACAGTATAAGTCATTGTAATCGGTAATTATGTCCCCACTGGATGCAACAAATGCCTCATTTGTAATGGATTTTTATGTTTTTGAATCGTCGCTCCGGCCGGGACATGCCATCACAGTATGGTAAGGGGCATATCATTTCTGTCACACGCTTGAGGTATTCGGCCAATCACAACGCACTGGATAGCTGGCCAATAAGAGCAGACCTCGCTTTTCAGAATGATGAGCTTTGTAAAAATTTACGCGTTTCAGAAAGGCGGGGCATAAAAGAGAAACAATAATCAAGTCAAGTCAAGTCTGCTTTTTTGTCAATTCTTCCACATGTACAGCACATACATACAGAGTACATAATGTACAGTATGTGGAAAATAATGTGTTTTTTAACCTTAAACCGCATAAACACATTTCATTACACCAAATACACAAAATAATGTTCTTTTTAGCAACATCATATGACCCCTTTAATTTTGCAGATCTTTTGAAACTAGTGAAATCCTGCTAGGACACTGAAGCCCAAAAGTTTCCATCTAATCCCGCACTAACCCACCCTGGCGTGTCTTACAGATCAAAACTTTCCAAAGCCCATTCTCATATTACATTTCTAGAATAAAAACAGACATATAAATGAGGAATCTCAAGAAAGCATGTGCAGGTCATATTTTAACCCCAAAAATATTCAGGAAAAAAATAAGAAATACCATTATTTTGACATTATTTTCATGACAATTAAGCACATTTCTCCCCTAAATTCTTAATTTTTTGTATTTTTCCATTATTTCATAATTAATGTACGGTTACACTTTATTTTAAGGTGCCCTTGTTACAGTGTAATTATATATTTAAGTACTGAGTAATATTAATTAACTACATGTACTTACTACATGGTTAGGATTAGGGTTTGCCTTAGGGTTACTTGCATGTAATTATGTATAATTTATTGTTATTATAATAGTAAGTACATGGAACCTGTAACAAGGACACCGTAAAATAAAGTGTTACCTAATGTACTCATATTTTTACAATTGAAATAATATATTATTATTTAATTTACATTACATCAATTTTAAATGATGATTTATTACAAAAGAAAGATGCCGGTGTAAGCTGCAATCTTTTTTTTATATACTGAATTGTGTATATTACCAGGTTATCATGGCGTGACGGCCCTAAACATTTATGGACTTACTATAATTGATGGTATTTTGTGCTGTTCACTGCGCCTGTATTGGGATCCGTTTTTAACCTATTCATAAAAAGCCCATTAACACACATACACACACACAACAGTTTGTGAAACAACAAGGCATTTTTTCAGTGATTATGGTACAAAAGGATTAGTCATCTCATTGAGGTGTATGAAAATGCTACTGTAACATAATATACTGCAGTGGATTTGTATTTGCTTTGGTCTTACGCATTGAAACGGGCCCGCACAATCATTCGGCAAAAGTTTCGGAAGCGATGCTCTCTACCAACAATGAAGAGTGGTTTGTCAAAGTATGGATGGTTTTCCCGGAGTTCCTCCTCTTGGACTTTTCTGGGGAAAATAAATTCTGGGCTCAATAAATCATTTTGAAATCTCATATTCAGCAAACACTGCTTTTATTAGTTTTATTAAAGTATGGAAAAGATAGAAAGATATAGGATGCACAGAAGGGACCTTACTAGTTTTTTTTGTGTACTGTATCTGTAAATCAGCTAAAATGTGATCTGATCTCTTTTTTACAGTCCCTCCTTGCCCCCTGAACACAGCAAACAAATACAGCTGACCTAAAACAAAAGCTTTGCTTTCCTGCAATATGTCTTGTTGTCATACACCGATGGCACTATGCCACCATCAGCATACAGTAGAAGAGAAAGATATGGTGTAATAACTCCCACATGGCATGTTTTGTTTGGGGGGATAAGATCTGTTCGACTGACCGCATGCCAAGGCAAGTGTATGGAGTGTCAGAAATACCGTTTCATCTCAGCCTGCTCCTTTTTCTCTTGTATCATCTTGATTTCACTGTCCTCCCGCTGGGCGTTACGGTAGCGGACCGTGCTGGAGTGCTGAAGAGTTCACACACATGTCAGAGATCACAGATAGTCACAGATAGTGCTGTCAGCTATTAATCGGTGATATCTGTGTGTGTGTGTACGCACATCCTGAGTGAGTGTTTCCAGGGATTTCCCTCTACTGATTCTCTGGCTGGTAGAGCCCTGTCTGAGGGACCTGTGCCAAAAAGAGCAGGTTAACACACTAGCATAATGTAGTGCATTTTATGACTATAAATCCATCCATTGATCCTTATATAAATTAAATAGATGAGTATGTGAAAGCATGTTAATGTGCTTTCCTAACCGGCGTTCTTGGCGGATGTGGTGCTGGACACTGAGTATGGATCTCTCTTTTGTTGGCTGACCCTCAAAAGAGCCACTCATCATACGTTGCTCAGTGCAGGATCTGAAAAAAAATATACGACACAAACAGTGTGGTATTCTTTGAAAAAATGCATCCATGACACTTGTTTTATTTTCCATCCAATATTAAAGGGGTCCTATTATGCTTTTTCACTTTTTTAATTTTAGTCAGTGTGTAGTGTGTATGTTTGGGCATAAAAAAGATCTAGAAAGTTACAAATCTCAAAGTTCACTCCAAAGGGAGATATTTCGTTTTTAAAAGTTTTTAAAATGAAATTTTCTTTTCAAGAACTACAACGAACAGCTCGTTTGGACTAGAGCATTGGTTTCCGGGCTTTGTGATATCACAAAGCGGCCCATTAGAATATCATTCAAAATAATTCCCGCCTACAGAAATTCGAATGGTTGGGGGGCGGGGAGGGGCAAGGTTGTGGTTAGAACGCTTGGTTGAGTGAGTGCATCAGACGAGACGACGAAGAAGAAGTGCTGCTGCAGAGTTAGTGCATCAAAGAAAACCAAGAGAAAGAACTGCTGTGCTGTAGCTTCAAATTTTCGGCATGTCTAGAACAATTCGTATAAGTACAACACGACGTAGCTGGGCGCCGCGGACAGATGCCGAACGGCGCCGCCGGTGTGCCTACACTCATAGAAAATAATGTATTTAAACTTTAAAGATGTGGCGCGACGCTGCGCTTCTCGTCCGGTGCGCGACTGCCTGAAACGCTGTTTCACCTCCGTGCCCAAGCGTCTATGTTTGGGCTTCCGAAAGCGGATGATGTCAGGAAACAATGGTTGCAATTTATTTTTTAACTCTGTCCCTGAGCATTATAACCCTGTGCTATTGCTATTGTGTGCTGCACATTTTACTGAGGACAGCTTCCTCAACATGAGGGAGTAGAGTGCCTGCCGGATTCGCCAAAAAGCTTTTGTTGAAAGACGGAGCAAGGGCGTGACAGTACTGAAACACCGTCTAAGCTGTTCGCCAATCACAACGCACTGGGACAGCTAACCAATCACAAAACATTTTGTTTTTCGGAAAGGCAGACTTTCAACAAAGCTGGAACTAATCGAGCCGTTTGTGCCAGGATGGGGAGAAAAGTATTTTAATAATGTAAATTATGTGAAAAATAATGCGTTTTTCGAACCACCAAGCATGAGAGCATGTTCTAGTACACCCCCAAAACAAAATCAAGACTTTGTAAAAGAGAATAATAGGACCCCTTTAAGACAACATTAAATCCAAATGGGCTTTTATTTAATTTCTTAGTCTTGCTGTGCATGACTCATTTAAGCAGTTTATTCATCAAAATCGAACAACTATCTCCATTTTGAAGTGCCACTCTAAATTATTTCCACTATTTTTTCACTTAGAAATAATTCACATTACAAACGCAAAAGGTTTTCATTTTTGGGGGTACTACAAATGCAAATAAGTTTTACTACACATACTGTAAATGTATAGGATTGTGTGAAGATCATCAGTGAAAAGCCCTTAAGCTATGTCGCTATTGTCTGTCATGTATGATGTTGTACATTCGACACAGCAGATGGTTCTTATTAGCTAACACTGTGTTGTGCAGGTGGAAACAGTTCTAAGGAACGGGGCACCCACAGAGAGGAAACTAATTAATCCTTTTTTCAGAGTGGTCAAATGTGACCTGTGGTGCACTAAAAATTCAGGCTAACAGTGAAGAGAAGATGAAGCAGTAGGAGGGAATTAATCTCCTAGGAAAAATTTGGCATACTTAGTATAGGTATATGAGGTTACATATCTACTAGGCTCCACTTCCACTTCTGCCAAAAATTACAAAACGTAGATGATGATCACTCAGTTGACTCCATTTAAACCAAAGTAACTTTCTGTATGCATGTGGGACATTCTCAGCAAGTGACCCCATTTGTGTTTTCCCATGAGTTAATACTGATTTATTTAACAGCATACTGAATTTAGACACAATATTTGGTTGATTTAACTCTTTAAATTTTTATTTTAATCATGCTATAAAGTTTAATGTTAATGCACATAATGAACTGAATTAAATGAACCATAAGTTTATCTTTAAATGTAACTGATTGGAATATCACATTTCTACTCATTCATCACATTACATTTCAGTTTCATGGAATGTAGAAACAAATCTAACTAAATTGAAATAAAATCACTATATATATTTAAGTTACTTTGGGCTTGAGATTTGAATTTACTGTATTTCCAGCAGTAGTAATTTAACTGCATTTTTTTCACACAAACGGCATTGTTCTTTGAAGATGACCCATATATTGTGTTTGTGACAACTGCTTGAACAGGTAACAAAACATGCAGAACAAGTCTTTGTATAAAACCAAAAATAAATAAATAAATGCAACACTATTTAAAAGAACAAGAGACCTGTAAGAAGGAATAGTCTAGAAGCCCCTTGTGGTGATTTCTGACAGTTTATTCAAGGCAAATCTTTCAAAGCTATGTCTGGAGATGAAATGTAACTGGTGAGGCTGTTGCTATAATCAGTATTGGGAGATTGTTCCGCCGCTGTGATCCCATTGGCTGTTTATGCGCTAAATCAGTGCTGATCTATGTATGCTTTGAAAAGCCGTCTGCTCACCACCGCCTCTCTATTGTCCATTAATTGCAGAGTCATGTACCAGAACACAGCTAATGACAATTTCAGCTTCAAGAGAACACGTCGCCCTTATTTATGGCCACTCAGAGTGATGAGTGCCTGGCTGATGAGGGATGTGTGTATGCAGACAGACTGAATGCCCCAGACAGCACAGACAACGTGGGATGGCTACTAATGTGCCGTCTGTCTGCTTAGCAGGAGTAGGAGGGGTGGACAAGGTGAGTAGTATGAGTGTGTGTGTGTGTGTGTATATAACACAAGGGAGGTGGGGACGGCATCGACGTGATCTGAAACTTAACAACTGAGACGAGAGCGGTTGAAGCAAAGTGTGGGAATATGTGACTGCATTGCTGCCAGATTTTTAAATATTAATTTGTTCATTCATGCTCACAGGTGACCCACTAAGGATTACATATTGATATGGAGACGCCATTATCTGCTCTGACTGCCGGGCTGGCTGGATGACAAACATGGAGTCTAAATCATGGAAATGGAGGATCAAAATCAAAACATTTTCACCCTGCATAGGAATTAATGTGTTTTTGCCCAAAGCTGCCAGAGAACAAAGCAAAGCTCTATTACTATTCCTGCTGGCCCATCACATATCTATAATATGAATAAATATCTGGTAACACTTTACTTAAAGCCTTTATGTATAATGCATTATAAAGGGTTATTAAAGGGTATAATGCATTATAATTATTCATCATTTGCGTTGTAATACATTATTTTGTCGTAAATAATTATAACTGAATTTAAAATGCATAGTGTAACAATGAACTGATAAGTGTTATAATGTATTAACTGTGGTTACAATTATTCATTAGATTGTACAATGCATTATAAGGTGCATTACAAAGCATAACTAATGCATTAAAACTACTTTTATAATGTGTTATTGTCAGGGTTGCACTACTGTGAGGAGCGAGGAACGAGGAGACGGGGAGTGAACTCAGGAGTAAACAAAGGTCCTTAATCACGATAATCCAAGGGTTAACACAGGGCAGGCTGGAAACACACGTAGCACATAGAGACGTTCAAGACTCGACAACCAAACATGGGGCAGACTACACTTTAAATACATAACATAACAAGGTAATTAACGAGACACAGGTGGATCAGATAACATCAGACAAGGGAAAAACTAGGTCACTGGGAGCAAAAACACACTCAGACAGTCCAGGGGCGTGACAGTTCGCCCCCCTCATGGAAGGCACATCCTCACGCCACAGAAACAAAGGGTGGGAGGGTGGGGGACTTAGGAGGAGGACAAAGGATTGGAAGTGGGATGGAAACAGGCGATGGCAAAGAGCTGGCAGGAATTCAGGCAAACAAAACTGGTGGAGGTTCAGGCAGAGGACGACAAACAGAGTCCAGGGCGGAGACGATGGAGGGAGGAGCCATGGAGGAAACAAAAGGATCCAGGCTGGATCAGGCAGAGGGAGGAGCCAGGGAGATGACAGGAAGGACTTGGAGCAGGAGGAGCCAGGTGGGACCAAGGCCACAGCCATGATAACGACCCATGGTGGAGCCGATGGAGGGAGGAGCCATGGTGGAGGAAGGGCTGGCGACTCCAGGGGGCGGAGGAGCCAGAGGCGGAGACGGAGAGCTGATGAGCCAGGGTGACGACGAGGATCCGGAGGACCATGGCAGAACAGGTGGCTCAGGTGACCGATGCAGAGGCGGGGCTCTGGAAGGCCGCGGTGGAGCCGGAGGGACAGAGGACCGAGGAGTAGCCAAAGGGAAGGAGGAGCCTGACGGAGCCGGAGGGATGGCGGGACGAGGCACAGCTGGAGAAATGGAGTCCCGAGGCGACGGGTGGTCGACGACAGATCAAGGCGGCACCGGAGGGACGAGGGAGCCTGATGGAGCCAGTGGACTGATGGGCCATGGCGGAGAGGAGGAAGCTAGGAGCCACGGTGGAGCCGCTTGGTCGACGGGCCAAGTCAGAGTCCTGGACTCTCGCACCTGGTCTGACAGCACAAACAGCTCCGGCTCCGTGGTGATCCTCAGCTCTGTCGCCCCTTGCGGTGATGGCTCGTTGGTCGCGGCAGCCTCAGGCTCTCCGTCAAAGGTGGTCTCGGGCTTAAGCTCCGCACAGCGAGGTGAAGGTGGGCCGGGCTCTTGGTCCGGAGTGGAACTGGCGAGATCCTCCTTGGAACAGACGGTGAATGGGGACACATTTCTCGCCAGTATCCATTCCACATAGGCGGCGAAATCCGCTCAAAGACCATCTTCGGATGACGGCGCTCTGAACACGGGGTTCAGGCTGGCGTCATAGAACGCGCAGAGCGTGTCGTCCAGGTAGGTGGTGAGATGGGCGATTTCCAGAAACAGTCTGGCATGGCCCTCGAGCGATCTCTCCCCCTGCTCCAGCAGGAGGAGGAAATATTCTGGACGGGAGAAGGGGTCGAATGGATCCATGGGGAAAACAGAAAACAAAACACTGAACAAACACGGAAACAAAAACGGAGGGGAAACACGCAGTTATACTTCTGTTTTAAGGTTGAGTCTTCTGTCAGGGTTGCACTACTTTGAGGAGCGAGGAACGAGGAGACGAGGAGTAAACTCAAACAAATGTCCTTAATCACGATAATCCAAGGGGTAACACAAGACTCGAGAACCAAACATGGGGCAGACTACACTTTAAATACATAACATAACAAGGTAATTAACGAGACACAGGTGCATCAGATAACAAAATCAGACAAGGGAAAAACTAGGTCACTGAGAGCAAAAACACACTCAGACAGTCCAGGGGCATGACCGTTATACATAAAGGCTTTAAGTAAAGTGTTACCAAATATCCTAATATAAATTTATTTTAAAATTTCAGGCTGCTGGAAAAATCAGTGTCTCATTTAATAACACACTGAATTAATTTATCTGAACATAAAAATTTCAAAACATTATGACTATAAATATGTTTGCACTTATGAAAAATTGATTAGCATTGATTTTTTTAAACGACTATATTTGTAATAAATCTGTAGCCTTGCTATGATGTGCATACTATAAGCAAAATATCAGTCTCAGTCATTGAATGTGTTTTTGTTTTTTTTTATTATATAAAATTATATAAAATAAATAAAGCTTATAAATGCTGGGAGAAGATCACAAGCTCACCGCAGAATTTTATTGACAGTGGTTTCCTTTTCCATGAGGTTATGGGCCCGGATGCTAAATACTGACTTTCGGAGCTAGGAAGAAAAAGCAGTTTAGATAGTAAGATGAACACAGGAGACAGATCAATGCACAGTACAATTCAGACGGATGTATTTGCAAACAGGTATTATTATATGGCTAAAGCTGAATTTGATATCAGCAAACAAAAACATCCCAATGTAATCAACAAAATGTAGTTATGTAACTGCTGGTTATTTAAGTCTTGTTGTGTGGGAAATAGATCTGTTCCTTTCAGAACATTCATGAATGTATTGTTCAGTCCCTGTGTGTATTGAGGGGGCAGACCGTGGGAGTGATGGAGTGTGGTACCTTCTGATCTATGTATTTATTATCCTCAATGGCAGACCCCTTGGAATGGTCGCAGGATGAGGACGACGCTGAGGGAAGGCGACGGAGCAGACAGCTGAGGTCCTGCTGCTGTCGGTCGATGAACTGCTTCATGAAGCTCTCCCTGCGGCACACGCCCACAGCACACACATAACCAAACAGTCACATGCAACACACAAGGGACTTCACGTTTTCAGAGGATTCTTGAGGACAAAGTAGGAGGCATGCAGTGTAAAGGAATAAGTAAGTAAAAGCCACCACCAAAAGAGTCCAATTACACTCTGTCTCATATATATGATTTGGAAGCCTCCTTATTGTAAGTTTTTTCTCTCTCTCTTCAACACATCACAAGATATGAGGTATCATTCAGTGCACACAGTACCTGATTCTAGGCACAGTGAAGTTTGATGGCAACTTGGAGATTTTCACCATCTGTGGTCGATTGGGGAACTTCTCAAAGATCCGTAATCGCAGAGGAAGTTTCTCTTTTGTATCAGCATTGGCTTCGCTCTGTTTCAGCTGTGGAGAGAAGCCAGAAGACTCACTTGAAAAAAATTTATCTTTCTGTGACTCAACTGAGACTCTGATGGGGCCACATTGTGTTTTCACACATAGCCCTCAAAACATTTGGTGGACAGTCCAAAATTGACATAAGTTGTCCATCTCTACTTCTGACTGCCCCTTTTGAAAACTCAGCGGGTATTCAAGCAGAATGCAAATATGGTGTATTTTACATTCAGTTCCTCACTTCTGCTGGTGAGAGAGGAAGGGGTTAGCCTGTATGGTGCACTGCTCTGAATTAATGTGGCCCTCTGAGGCTTAACTGACTTTATGTGCCATAACCTTTTATCTTTCTTCATGTCTATCAAGCAACATAAAGGCCTCAGATGATTAGGCCGGAGCACGCTAGAGATCCCTTTTCATTCTTCTGTCAGAAGAGATGCATAAATTAAAGTGAATAAGATAAAACTGAGATGACAGATTGTTTCAAATTTTTTAAACATGCTTATGAATGCACATTAAAAAAATTCACTCGATTCCCTACTGATTAAAAAACAACATTTAATTAGTTTGATTTACTAAAACAATAACCCTAATTTCTAACTAATTTAAATGTTAAATTATTATTTAATTCTTAACATTATTTAAACATTTCATTATTTAAAATTCTTCTTCTTCTTCTTCTTTTTTTTTTTGGAGAACAAGATGTTCCTTTGGCAGGATTTAAAAGCAAAATGTTATGTTAACAGAATGCTGTTCTGCTAGGCTGTCCAAAGATGGCAGCAGCGCACAGTCTCAATGCAGTTATCCGTCCATTAACAACACTGACTGTCAACTTGTTTTGCTTCAGGATCCACATTTTACACTGACATCAAATGGAAACCCAACAGTACAACCCAATATTTAAATGTATTATTTATTTATTAGACACAAAACAGTGGTTGGCACAAACCATGTTTATCCTTCTTGCAAGTGAACCCATATTTAATTTAGTATATATTTACAGTAAATTGTATAGATTTGTTCATGGTTTCGACAATGTAATGTTGGCATCTTTCTAATTTGTCTAGCTTTTACCTAGTGTCAATCATTTTTTGTCAAAATACCATAGCTAGATACATAGATAAATGCCATTGTAAGATCAGACAATCAGACAATAAAAGATATGGGATATGGGAAGTGTTCTGTATAAGCCTATTTATTTTGCTATCCTACTACGCATGAGTATATGGTTAGTTGTATTTTATTTCCTCACAAACAATTATTGGTTCGCTATCTACCACTACTGTAATATAATATAATTCAACACAATGTGTATAAGGGAAGCACAGCAAAACTGAAATATGTATTCAGAAATGACTTTCTGTCAAAAAATAACGGAGAGCAATTAGGCCTAATTTAATTACATATTTTAAAAGTATTGGAACTCTTTTGCTGGAAGCGTGCATCTGGACGCCTGTAGATAAATATATGATGCATTTCTGATTAGAAGTAAGAGCCATCAAAATTAGGTTCTTTGATGATAGCTTACCGTTGGAAATAAGCAGCTGACCTGGACCCTTCAGGAAATTAAAAGCATTTGGCAAGAGTATCCAAGAGGAACCGTCAAAAAATAGAAATGCAAATAATGTCATTGCATCATATTATTGTATTATGACTCATGATTTTTCTCATTCATCACTCGAATTGGCCATACATTCAGACCTCTGTAATGCAACACATGCTGTTCTTTCAGAGTTACAGACAGCAGGTCGTGTTCTGTGCTGGAAGTGCTACAGTGGAGAGGATGTGATAATGTTGCTGAGAGTCTGTCTGCAGTAAGAACAATGCTGTTGGATACTTGAGCCAAGAGAAAATGTGCTCAACATGGATCTTGATGATTTCAATGTATAGAGGTGAGAGTAAACACCTACTCAAATCAAACGTGACGTAACCAAAAAGTGCATAAAAATCAGTCTGGACCAGTGTTTGTGGCCATTTTGAAAAGTTCAACAGGAATCCATTGTTTATATACCACAAACGTTCACAACAAATATTCAGAATAGTACTTTTTTTTTTTATTGTATTTTTAAGCAATTACAGGGATAATTTATAATGACAATGATAATAATGCAACAAAATAAAAACAAAACAGCAAAATACAGAGGAAGGGATAGAATAAATAACTGAAATAAAAATAAAATCACAGAATACATAACATTCTACAAACATCAAAGAAATATTAAAAGGAATAAGTACCCACAGGTTTAGCCAAACGCAAATCCATGCATACATAAGTATATACATATGCCTACATAAAGATAAATAAATTATATATATATATATATATATATATATATATATAAATGGGAGGGGACACACAACTTCACCTCTATCACTTCCACGCTAGATTTTTATGACATATGTTCCGCCTCTACACCTAGGTATTTAAGAAAGGGGTCCCAGATTCTATGAAACTTAAAGGGTTTATCTCTTAGTGCTGTGGAGTAGGCTTCGTTAGGGATAAGTCCCTTGGCGATACTTATCCACTGGGCTACCGAAGGGGTTATGGTCATTATCCATTGCAACAAAATACACTTGCGAGCACAGTGTAGCAATATTTGCAAGAGCTGAGTACCTTTAAAGCCATGAGGGAGGTCCTTTGTTAGGCCCAGTAGGCAGATCTTAGGTCCTAAACTGCAGATAGCAGGATTCAAAGATTTTTTGGATAAAATTGGATAAAATTTTCTCCAATTCAAAGAAAACACCTGACCAGAACTGTTGGACCTTAAACATCCCCAAAAGCAGTGTATGTGGTTTCCCTCAGCAATCTTGCATCTATTGCAGAAGCTGGATACAGAATACTACTTAAGTGAGAAAAATACACAGGGAGACCAACCATTTGCTGTGCTTCTTGCTGGAAAACATACAAACCGGTTTAGTCTGCACTGAAGCAAAAAAATCAAAAAATAGTCTAAATTTGTTTTAGGGCAACTTTATTGTAAAAGAGTGTGTGTTTGAAACCTTACAGTTCCCCAAGGCTCCAATCAATAGCTCTGCACTCTGCGGGGTGGCTTCAACTCTGCGCTTTACTTGGCAACAGCCTCTGATTAGCTCTCACACAGAGACACACACGACACGGAACACTGCAGAGAGAAAAGGCGCTCCTAACTAATACCAACACAATTTACATCCCTCTAGTATAAATAGCTAACGTGAAGAATCCTCCCAGCTTCGCAATGCCACACATCAGCCCCCCTGTTTATTCCAATCTGGTAGCTAAAACAAGTGTTTGTACAATTAATCACAATGGATTCAAAATTTGAAGATATTTTTAGGTAACTGATATTTTAAAGCAAATTTTCACCCAAAAATAAAGATGGTTTCAGTTTTTCCAAAACTGTATGACTTTTAATAATGGTGACAAGAATACATAACTTCAGTTGCAATCTGTTAATCGTGTTAACTAAAATAAAATGTTAAAGTGCCCCTATTATGGGTAATGAAATGTTTATATTTTTTTTTTGGTAGTCCCCAACAACTTGTTGCCATTGCATGCAATGTCAAAAAACACTTTCATTGTCTTATAATATGCATTTATTTTTACCTTATTTGCTCAACAACTCCCAAACGATTCACTGAACGATTCATTTTTCCAAACCCCTCCTTTGCGAGAGGCTAATCTGCGGTGATTGGTCCAATTGGTCTCATTTTAATTTCATCGTGCCTGTAATGCCTGATAAAGCAGCGTTTATGAGCGCAGTGCTACTTTGTGTACAGCGTTACCTCCAAAAGCCGCACCTAGTGGCAAAGAGTACATTTGCATTTTCATTCAGACCAATGCGAAAAGACCATCAAGTGGGCAGGCAATATGCTAATGTTTCATGTTGACATGAAACGGCTTGGGATTCATTTTAAAAACGACTCGTTTCAATGATTCAGAGTCAACTCTTTCTTTTGAGAGATAACTTTATACAGGGTGCACTTTCAGATTTAAAACTTTGCAGGATGTTTTCATTCACTTAGAGCTGTGTTACACACTGCATGAAATGTAATTTTCAAAAATCCATAATAGGGGCACTTTAATTGAAAAAAGTAAAATACAAAATAGTATATAAATAATACTACTGTAACCCTTTGCATGTAAAGATCAGTGAGATTTTTTTTTTTTTTCAAAATATCTCATTTGTGTTCCACAGAAAAAAAGAAAGCCATACCGGTTTGAATCGATGTGAGGGTGAGAAAATGATGACAGAATTTTCATTTTCATTTTCGAGATGTGGTAAGTACATTGTATGGGAGTGCTGAAGAGGAAGGGAAAGCCAAATTCAATCAGCACAGCTAGAAAGTGAAATCCACCCTGATCAATAAACAGATCAATATCAAATAGGCAAAATGATATGGGTTCACATACATTGCATACAGTGCAACACATCATGCTGATTTGCATCTCTACATGATTGCCTGTAGCTAGCTGTATGGTTTTTCCCCCTGATGGCTTGTGAAAGGTCTGCGTGTAATGCATTTTTTTTTTGTAAAAATGGCATATGGCCATAGCTCTTCATAATGATGAATCATATGTAGCATTTTCCATAAATCACAGATGTGGGAGCCGTGCATCTGAAATGAATGTGTTGGCCTTGGGACACATTAGGCTGATCCATTCACTCCTATTCACACATTCTTCCAATTTCAGGCTCAGGTGAACCATACTAGGCTATTCTCCAAGTCCCCCACCTTTCAAGTAGACAAGGGTCCGGGTTATTGACCAATTGCTGTGTGGTCTGTGGCACATTCACAAAGGAGCCTATAATAGTGTGCTGTGCTCCCACCATCATGAGTGATTGGTGGGTCTACAAATCTGTATGTCACCGTCCCACAAATTTACTCAACAGGCCATTAGACACATTTATGCTCCAGTTAGGTCACCATAAAACAGTGGAGAGCTAATGTAAGCACAGGTAATAATGTCTAACGGCGTGTGTGTGTGAGTGTGATCTTCAGAGACGGCGTCGGCAAACATAATCACATATTGGTTT